TCCCTTTCTCTCTGTGAAAAATAAATAAAATATATATTTTTTAAAAAGTAACCATCAGAAAATGAAAAGGGAGCCCACTGTATAGGAGAAAATATTTTCCAGTGATACATCTGATAAGCAGTTACTTTCCAATGTATATAAGGAACTCATACAACTTAACAAAAGAAGACAAACAATCCAATTTAAAAAAACGGGCAGAGGACCTAACTAGACACCTCTCCAAAGTAGACATACATATGAAAAAATGTTCAAAGTTACTAATCATCAGAGAGATGCATTTGAAATGAGAATGAGGTATCACTCCACAACTGTCAGAATGGCTATGATCATCAAAGCAACAAATGACAAGTGCTGGCGAGGATAAGGAGAAAAGGGAACCCTCGTACATTGCTGGTGGGAATGCAGATTGGTACAATCACTATGGAAAACAGAATGGAGTTTCCTCAAAAAATTAAAAATGGAACTTCTATTTGACCCAGTGATTCCACTTCTAGGAATATATCCTAAGAAACCTAAACACCAATCAGAAAGAATAAATGCACCCCTATGTTCATAGCAGTGCAATTTATAATAGCTAAGATTTGGAAACAGTCCAAGTGCCCATCAGTAAATAACTGGATAAAAAGAGCTGTGGTACATTTACACCACGGAATACTCCGCAGCTATAAAAAGAAGAATTTCTTACCCTTTGAGACAGCATCGAGGGACCTGGAGATGATTATGCTAAATGAAATAAGTCAATCAGAGAAAGACAACTATCACATGATCTCATATGTAGAATCCAAAATAAACTGATGAATAAAATAGATCCAGAGACATAGAAACATGGAACAGACTGAAGAATCTTAGCGGGAAGTCAGGGTTTGAGGGGTGGATGGGAGAGATTAACCAAAGAACTTATATGCATATACGCATAACCCATGGACACAGACAATAGAGTGGTGAAGGCCTGGGGAGGGGGCAGGTGCTGGGTGGAGGAGTACTATGGGAGGGAAAAGGCGACACCTATAATATTTTGAACAATAATTTTAAAACGTTTTTTCTGCAAACAATACCATCAAGAAAGTAATAACACAATCCACAGATTGGGAAAAAATACTTGTAAACCATACATCTGATAAGTACTTGTACCCATAATACATAAAGAATCCTTATAACTCAAGAGTAGCCAAATTTTTAAATGGGCACATGGTCTAATTAGACCTTTCTCCAAAGAAGATATATGAATGGACAATTAGCAAATAAAAATATTTTCAACATCTTTAACCATTAGGTAAATACAAATCAAAACCACAATGAGATACCAATTCAGACCCACTAGAAATGCTATAAATAAAAACACAAAGATGGTAAGTGTTGGCAAGGATGTGGAAAATTGGAATCCACACACATTGCTGATGGGAATACAAAATGCTGCCCACATTGGAAAACAATTTGGTAGTTCCTCAAAATGTTAAACAGTTATCATATGAGCTAGCAATTACACTACTAAGTATGTACCCACGAGAAATAAAAATAAGCCACATAAAAATGTGTCTAATAATGTTCATAGCTACATTATTCATAATAGTCAGAGTACAAATAATCCAAGTGTTCGTCTATTGGTAAATGGCTAAACAAAATGTATATCAATACAATAGAATATTAATTTTCAATAAAAAGGAACAAAATATCAACATGTGCTATACAAGAATGAGCCTTGAAACTTATGCTAAGTGAAAGGAGCCAGGCACAATATGCCACATATATTGTATGATTCTATTTAAATTAAATGCCTGGAAGAGACAAATACAGAAAGTAAATTAATGGTTGCCTGGGGCTAGATAGGGAAGATACAGAGTGATGGGGGGTGATAAAAATGTTCTAAAATTAGACTGCAGTATGGTTGCACAATTCTGAATATACTAAAAGCCAATGAACTGTACACTTTAAATGGTTAAATTATAGTTAGCCATTTTTTAGCAGCTTGCTTGAAATCATATATATAATTTCAAGAAAGCTGCTAAAAAATTAAAGGGCCAACCATCATGATAAGAACACAATAAAGCAAATAATTATCTTAGAAATAGTTTTATAACTAAGGTGATAGAATGAACTTATTCAAATGCCAAAATTAACATGGAACATTTTAATAGGATGTTTCTAAATCAAAACAAATGAAAATGGAATTGCCTGAATATTTTTTAAAAATATATAGGAAAGCTATTAAATAAAAGATGTATTTTTTCAATTTTTAATCAGGTATTTGATACAATATAGGCACAGGCAGATAGTAAGGTTATGTAAAAATATACAGGAAAGTTCAAGGGGCTGCTCATTAGTTCTCTTAGATCAGAACCAATTAGAGAGTGCTTAAGAAGTTGACATGCCTTTGGCACAAAATAAACTTCAACATGGCCTTATAATTTGAAAGCTGCCACAGAGTAAATGAGAAATACTATTAGACAGTTCCTGAAGCTCCTGGTTGAATTTTCCCCTCCTGAGATAGTGTGAAATCAACAAACTTGGATTCTCATCCAACAACTGATAGAATCTAAGATACCTTGAGGAAGAAAAAAAAGGATGATGAAGTCCCTACATTAAGAAAATATTTGAATGGATTTAAAGCCTTAGAAGATTGTTAATAGGACAATGATTAATATAATTTAATTTAACACCCAGTGTATTTCCTTAAAGTAATTATGGTCTCAAATGTAGACAGAAGAAACCTTCATTTCTAAACCTAAATGTTTTACTAAAATCACCTTTGTTAAAATAAAACACAATAAAATCATCTTACTTTTACTCCAGTGATATTTATACATCATAATACCATAATAATTCATTAAAAACCAAGTTATATAAACTTGTAGTATATGAGAAGTAGACAATGGGGGATAAGAACACATATGTAATACCTTAATCAAAACAAAAAAAGAGATGTATACAAGGTGAGCAAAAGTAGGTTTTCAGTAGTGGGTATGTGAAACGGAGTTTATTCTTGTATTATTATTTGTTAATTATTGCATTATTTATTTGTATTACAACTGTAAACCTACTTTTGTCCACCCCTGTATAGTGCTACCTAAGAGTCTATTTGCAAGGGTTTCTCAGCTAGATTTACTATTGCTTCTACTATGAATTATTCATGCTCTAATTCATGTATCCCTTTATTTCCAAAACTTACAGGAAAATAAATGTTGCTAAGTTCAGGAATGTGAAAATGATACAGACTTTTTTAGGATAATCATAATGGATCTGTTGATAATCCAGAAGTTGAATATAACCACTATTATAGCCTGGGAAGCACAGGTTATGCCTATAAAGACCCTGCAGAGGAGGCCATAGTCATTGGACCACCTGAGGTAAGGGGTAGAAGGGTGTAAAGTGAGGACGAGGGAAGAGGAAAGAAGAGGAATTTGGGGAATGGGAAGGGAAGAGGGAGAAAGGAAAAACAGTAATGATAGTGAGTTAAAGAAATTCGAGGCCAAAAGAGAAATACATATATAGGTTAAAATTGTATATGTAATTGTATATGTAAATAAGCTGTACTGAGCAACTCAAAACTGAAAATGGAGTTGTGATTTCTCAACCAGAAAGTCATGAATCACAGGATTTGTTAAATTGGAAAAGGCCTTAGCACATTGTCAGTCTTACTCTTCCTACCAAGCATTGTCAGGGAAGGCACTCAACATCAGAGAAATATAAGGGAAGCCCCAAATCCAGAAAGTCTTATAAAAAATGAAAAAACACACACACTTTAATCTTAGAAATCAACTTCACTCAATGAATTTGTAGAGAAATAACAGGTAAACATAACCAAATATACATAAGTTCCTTTTTATAAAATTTATAAATTATAAAATTTTAAATTTATAAATATATAAATTAATAATTAAATAAATGGTTCACTATATACACAACTGTCAGAGTCCCTGAACTATACGGTTCTAATAAACTGCCTGCTTCATTGTATCATTTAAAGTTGTTTCAGCAAGAGTGTTTTCTTACTTGTTAATTTATTGATTTAATTACATTTAAATATTATTTAACTTACTATTGTTAATTTCATTTTTAATTATTGTCTTTTCTGTGAACTCTAATCCAAGTCAATTCTAAAAGTTGTTTTCAAAAAGTTACATGTTTTCCTAATAAGGTAGTGTGCTGGAAAACATTTTCTTTCTTTGAAATTTCATAATTAACCCATCCTACTTTATATTCATGTTCTGTGAATCATTTTAGTAGCTAATAATATTTTTTCAGAAAGTTGGATTTTTAAAAATGCATATTTTAAAATGTTTAATTTGGTGAATACTATGGGCATTTTTCTTTTAAAGAACAAATTTAAGACATATACTTAAAAAAACCAGGCAGACTTGTAGTTAGGAGAGGTGGATCAGGATTTCAGAAATACCCCCTGCTCAGTTATATTATACATTGGAAAGCACCTTAAATTCTTCTGGACTCAATTTTTTAAAAATATTTTGTAAAATATATTTTTATTGATTTTAGAGAGAAAGAAAGGGAGAGAGAGAGAGAAACACACCCTCTACTGGGCATCCAGCCCACAACCGGGCATGTGCCCTGACTGGGAATCAAACCTTGACCTCCTGGTTCATAGGTTGGCATTAAACCACTGAGCCACATCGGCCAGGGCTGGATTGAATTTTTTAATGTAAGATAGACTAAAGTTGTCTGCATCCAATTCTAACTTCAAAATCCTATTATTCTTCAATTCATCTTTTATAAGAAAAGTCAGCAGGAATGTAGAAGGCAACAACCAGACATTCATTTTATAAACAACTTTGCACCTGCAGAGACCTTTCTTTAAAACATGTCACTGATTTTCAGAGACAAGGGCAACCCATTTTCAAAGAAGACTCCCCTCAGTTCTTCTGATAAATTTGTATTTCTTGACTCATAACAGCAAAATTGTCCAAAATGAAAATTAAGACATTTTAAATTACATATGCATTCAAATCTAACAAATCTTCATGAGACAGTAAGAATTAAGCACTTACTTTTACTTGAAGATCCTCAGAGCTTTCTGTGACATGTACAAAGAAAGCAGCACTGGCAGAGTGTTTGTGACTGCGACGGCCCGTGCATGCTCCGGAGTGTGTCTCCCGATCTGTGCCACGGCCCAGGCAGTGGCAGCCCTAACGTGATCTTCTGGTTCTTCTGACAAGCAGACTGACAACTGGGGCACACCCTGCAGCGCCGATCAACAGAACAAGTGTTATGAAACCAGAGCAGGATTAAATAGTCTCCCGTGTCTCTCAAACATTAGAAGAAATCATTTGGCCTTGATCCTTTCTTCCTAGATGGTTCAATAAGCAAGCACAGCACAGGGGCTGTCATTTTTCAAGTCAATAAAATGACTAGAACTAATTTACCTTAATGATCTGTTACAATCCAACTACTCTACCTCTGCTAGTATTTACTCGCCAAATACAGAAGCATTTAACCAAACAACAGAAGCCACAGATTAGTATGTAGGTAAAACAAGATTCCACTGGGACAAATTTTAGACGCTTAGATTTTAAAACCTTTTATTTTTCTTTGTTAAAATGTTAATTTAGAATACTTTAAAATTGCCTTTTCACTACGTATAACAGATCTGACAACACAATAACTACTAGAGATTTGAAATCCAATGAATAATGTGAGCCAGAATTCTATTTAAGTAACATTTAGATGAATTATATTTACTAGAACCTTTCCTACACTAGTAATTAAATTTCCATTAATTTTGGTCAACTTTTAAATGGTAGTTTTGCCCATTTTAACATGATTGTCAAAGTAGAAAGGATTACTTTTGTTACACAGATAGTGCATGCTTGTATTTTGCACTTTAGGCTTCAGTTTTATCTAAATAAAACAGAATTAACTAAAGGGCCTCAAATACATCTGTTTCTATATCTAAGGAAGAATCAAGTTGCCAAATCAAATTACAATTCCAGATTCTGTATAGGAATAACTTTCTAACTAATTTGAGACTATAATAATTATCACCTTTTAGTACCACTAAAGTCAAGGTCACACTGCTATGCTACCATAGCAAAGTCCAAATGATCATATACATTTTTTTCTCTGTGACTTTAAATTTGGTTATTAAAACCAATTCCCTGAAGATACCCACCATATTTCTTCACTGACTTCTTTTTTTCCAACTAAAAATGTTTGTCTGACAATACGAAAGGTTGGAACTGTCTTCAGGATGAGGGAACTTTCCAGAAAGTTCATACTCTGGGACATATCAAGACTGAAGAAGCAAGGGGAAAAGAAGTCAGCCTCCTCCACCTCACCCTCAGTAATTATGAATAGCAAACGAGATAAGAAACAAGAATGTGATTTGAAAATTTCTAAGTATTGTGTACATGTGAAGTATTTTTAGTCTTTAGAATACTATGTAGGAAAAAGAAGAACACAGAACAGTGCAGTTTGATTCAAACTGCTGCTGCCACCTTGATCTTCAACTGACTGAGCCACGGAGGTGGGAGAGGCCAGCAGCCTCTTCAACAAAGGAGGGGGGCACCTCTTGGTTAGTTTGGGGAGGAAATACAGGAAGCAAAAGCAATTGCTGCTTCTTTCATCATTTTTCCTATGTATAAGCTTTCTGCGATCCACAAAAGAACCAAGAATCAAAAATCCCAGTAATATCCCCACAGTGACCCTTCAGAAGCAGCACTCCTGTTCGAGTCACTATCATAGTCTTTGGTAATAGAACAAAAGGAAAAGCGTAGGATAAAAAGCGAGCAAAGCAAAGAATTATCAAGGAATAGGTAGGAAATAAAGATCTGAGGCTCCCTTTTAGTCTGAGGATTAGCGAGGGCTAAAAAAAAGAAAAAAAAAAAATCCACACTTCTGTTTAACATACCGCAGCAGGCTTTCTGTGCTGATAAGAAACCCACACCCTAGAGGGCTGGTGGAGACACTGTAAGCACACAGCCCCTGCAGCGCTCCTCGGGAGATTAATCCTTATCCATAATTCAGTCAATATCTCTGAGCACCTACTATGTGTCAGGACTACACCGTATGGTGGGTTAATACCAAGTTGTAAATTGAAATGAGGTCAAATTTCTAGAGCAAGGACACAAAACATCACTGTCTGACAGGTGCTCTGAATTGCCTACATCTAAAAAGAGAAATTTAGTTCATGAAAGCTGAAGGACAGTGGATATAAAGGGATGTCCCAGCCATTGTCATCTCCTACCCAAATGACAGATAAGGGGAGAATGACCACTAGGCATGTAATTTGTAACAGTTTTCTTTAATCAAAGTATGCTTTACATATTTGTAAATATATAGTCAGTCCTTCAGGATACAAATACACTGAATATTTCAATACAAGTAATACTAATACTCAGAGGTATGGATATTTTGTAGATATTAAATACTGAGTAAAACTTTAAACTGCCTACAAAGTAAAGCTTACTTCAAACATTGCTTTTAGAAACTTACTAATTAGCCTTGAAAACAGGCTGAAAAATTCTTCAGGTTCCTTTCACTCTGGTCAGTTACATTTTATAATCTATGGGAGAGTATTACTATGGTTCTGTCTTAGAATATCTCACTGCAATAACTAGATGAAAAGCAAGCAAGAACAAACATTGCTAATGATCACCGCCATTGCCAGGTTCTCAGAATGAGCCGCCACGTAACCAAGCATCATGATGCCTTATGTTTCCTTTGCAAGATCCAATGCAGTCAATCATGGCGGCAACTGCTGCGTTCACTGTCAGCTGCGAAAGCTAAGGGAAATGTTGATGTTAAGGGAAAGGAAGGAGAGTGCGGTAATTGTGACTGTAAAGCATAAGATGATCTTTAAACATGGATTTAATATTGCCAAACATTTTTACTTATGACCTAAAAACACCTGGTGAAATTTGAAATATGATTTAGTGAAATTACTCTACTTATTAAAGAAATATACAAGTATAATAATCCTATTTTGAATGTACAAATATACCCACTGTATGGAGCTTATTCTGTGCTTCAATTTTCATGCAGCTATGGCACAACTTTTATCCCTATTCTAATAGATGTCAAAATTCCTCACCTAGACACTAAGCCTAGGGCTAGTTCATAACTAGCTAACTACTGAAAGCCCCAATCACAATTGTGAGTATGAAGCAGATTACTCACTGAATGCTGAACGACAATGTCAGACTTGAAGTATCCTAGCCTAATTATCCCCCTTGCGAACAATGGTTACTAGCTATTTACACTTTAAAAATAAGAAATCTCAACCAAGATGTTAGGTGAAATAAAGAATGAGGACTTTAAACTTTAGTGAAATGAAATTGATTAGTCGTAACATACACAGGAAAAAGATACAACTGCAGAATCCACCCTATTCCTTTGGCATCTAAGAACTCAGAGGGGGAACCACCACATAAGAGCAGCTACTAGAGGAGTCACTCTGGGCTAGGGGCCTGGTGGTCTCTCCCCTCTGGAACTGGACAACCTCTTACTATTCCCAGCTGACCTAAAATGACAAGAATGGCAAAGGTCTACAGTCCCCACAATCTAGAAATGGAAAGCAGGAAATGATTAGAAACTGAGATTTCTGTCTCAAACTCCATTGATTTAACCCAGTAAGGTTCTCAACAAGGGACACTTTTGTCCCCTGAGAAATATTTGGCAACATATGGAGACACTTTCGACTGTCACAGTGAAAAAAGATGCTACTGGCAGGGGCCAAGGATGCTGCTAAATATTTATCCTACAGTGTGCAGGGCAGTCCCATACAACAATTATCTAGTCCAAAATGTGCAAAGTGCTCACAATGAGAAGCCCTGACCTCGCCAAATCGTGTGGCACAGCACCTGGGCCTTGTATACAAACTGGTGTTTTACTTTACAAAGAAAACTAACTAATATTATTGTGTTTAAAAACCTTTTTATTTTTACCTTGGGTGTATGTTGTGCAATCTTCTTAATTAAAATAGAAACATTTTTCTTCACGTATTCATCTTTGTCTCTCAGGCAGGTAGGTACAACTGGAAAAATCTCTGCTTTAGCCACCATTTCTGCCAGACCCACAGACTGTTTTGCCACCCGAGAGTGGAAAGGACCTGAGGCTGTCAAGCGAAAACCAAAATAAAACAAAGCATCACATAGAGTCCACTGCAGAGATCAGATATAACTTAAATAGCTTAATATGGTCAAATTCCTTTATAAAAAGAAAAAACAATTACATTTGTAACATAACTTAAGATTTCTGAGTTTTGAGACATTCTCATCCTAGTCTTATACCTAAATACTGAATTTCTTAAATTCCCTGCTTTCCAAATTAAATGTCTTAGTTTTCTGTGGACTATTTAAATCTCTATCACAGATGATCAAAGAATATGACTTCTGGGTAAATTCTATTTCTTAATTATGTAGTACTTAAATCATTAATTTACAATACATGTGGCAATATAGTACAAAAAAGATCAGGCAGAACTAACATCTTACTTTTGGTATGATGCTGTAACATTTCAAAGAACTTTCTGTGTATGCTTAGTTAACATTAGCAATTTCAAAACCTTATAGGATATAACGAATTATTAGCATACAAAAGTATAATTGGTGACTATTAACTGAAAATCAGATTTTAGAAAGCTATAAAAAACAAACAAACATAAATATGACAATTTTCATAAGAAATTTAAATATAATTAGTGGTGAGCTAGAAAACCTTTAGGTGCCTTCCCACCCTGATTAATGAGATTCAATCATTAATGTGATTCCTTATTTTAGCAATTAATGTTAGTACTAATGCTACCTCTAATTTTTAACATTGCACAAATTTTCCCCAGTCATGTCTTTATTATATAATCCTTACAGCATAATTTCCACACACTAAATACATAATATAGTCACATCTGTTTTCAATAATAATTTATAAATTATTTTTGAAAATATATTAAACCATACACATTTTCCATTAGATTAACAGAAATCTGTTTTTTAACTTATCTTTAAATACCTTTAATTTAGCAGCAGGGTTCAGAATCATCTGGGCTTAGTGAGCAGTAGCTCCTGCATCCACGACTGTCTGTGCTAACTCTGGAGAATGCTTTGAAATATCACTGAGGTCCGAAGCAGCAATCCTTTTCAAAGCAATTTCTGGCTCCTGGATACAAAGTACTAACAGAGGAACTGCTCCACATCCACCACAGCTTGTGACAGTTCTGTGGGTCCAAGAAAAGTAATTAAGTGAGTATGGGTGACTGACCCTTGTGCAAGCCATTTTTCTCCCTGACAGATACAGCAAAGAAAAAAAGGGGAGGGTACTTCACTGTCTCGACATCTGCATTTCAAATCAGCCTTCCTGGTTTCATAAACCATGTGGACCAATCCTGAGCTGAAAAGAATACAGGTCAATAGATGGACCTCCATTTACATGAACACATTTGAGGTAGATTAGGCTGAAATGGCTTGTTATTCTTTTTTTTTTTTTTTTTTTTTTTTTTTTTAAGAGAGTAAGCAGATGTCAGCTGTTTAAGCTCTGACAATTCTGCACTTCTCGGTAAGCAAGCTTTTTATGCATGGTTTACAATAACAGAAAAAGTACCAAAAATTTACCAACCACACTAATTAGGCAGTATTTTGTACTATTTACATGAGTAAACATTAACATGAATCGTGTGCTAATAATGTTGAGTTTTAAATTCCATTCATCTTACAGTATTTTTAAAAGAGTTTTTAAAAATATTATATAAAATTAAAAGGTGCATTTTTATTATACATATAAAAACACTTTCAAAATGAGATCTATGACTAAACAGCATACTTTAATATATATAAATGTTGATGTTAAGATATTTATCTTAACCATTTTACTTGTCAGAAACAAACATTTTTTGAATATACACATTGATTTACTGTGTGCCCAAGAATAACAGCTATAAAAATAACACATTTTAAATTTTAGATAATGAGAAATAGGCAGACCCATATAATATGTATGTAGAAAGACATCTTTTGAGAAGCATAAAGCACAACACATAGTTACAACATTCTACTTTCATTATATTCATGGCTTCCCTTACTTAATCACAGATACCCATATCTATAATCTCTTCTTTTCAAATTATATTTTAATTTTTCCACATATGTTGTGCCCTGACAATTTATGTCTTAATAGCCAAACTATCCATTCAGCATATCACTTAAAATCTTTAAAAAATATATGGTGTTTAATTTTTCAAAAGATGGGTACTACCACATTATCTAAAAGGGAATAATGTTAGAAAATACAAGTTAGCATCCAATATTTGTTTTTCTTAAATTATTACAACTATCTTAGAAGTCCCAATATTGTATAAACCATTCATTCTTTCATTAAACAAGTATTAATGGAAGGTCCGTATGTGCCAGCTGCTTTCAATGCTGGTGTAGATGACAGACTTCTACAAATTAACACTACATTGATTAGCAAATATGTTTCAATTTAAAAAATCTAGTGTGAAATATGAAATACAATGAGAAGTCAATATGTAATATAAAGAACCAGAGGCAGATAAAAATGTTTCTTTTAAAAAAAGACAGCAGCAACAGCAGACTGGAATATCAACCTAGTATTGTAACATTCCCCAGAAGCATCTCTGAGATTCTACTGCAATTGCATGAAGACCAACATGACAGCAGGTGAAATAGGTGATCACTGTTTCTCTCTCTCCCCCATCCCACCCAAAGAAAATGGAAAGAAATATAAAGTGTGATATTATATGTGATTTCTAGATATAATTTTCATATTTTATGTTAATTATTAACATGTTAATTCAATTCCATCTAAATTTTACAGGTGTTGTAATATCAGCTTTATTGTATATATTTTAGGGCACCTAGGAGATATATATATATATATATATATATATATATATATATATATATGGCTGAACATTTTGTTTCTAGAGAGTATAAGGATTTGTTCATATATTTATGCATTTTTACTTTTATACATAGTTTCTGAGAGTCAAGAAAATGCAGGAGACTACAACTGCTTAAAAGTACTATTAATAAAAATTTAATGTTCTTTAAAAAAGATCCATTATCTTTGTGATCCCCACACATTCTATTCTTTTTTAAAATGTATTGATTTTAGAGAGAGAAACATCAATTTGTTCCACTTATTTACGCATTCATTGGTCAATTCCTGTATGTGCCCTGACCAGGAATCATACCTACAACCTTGGTGTATCGAGATAACACTCTAACCAACTCAGCTACCCAGCCAGGGCTTATCCTTTTCTTTCTTTTTTAATCCTCACCCAAGGACATGCATAGAGAAAGGAAAAGAACTACAGAGAGATCTATGTGAGAGAGAAACATTGATCAGCTGCCCTCAGATGCTCCCCAACTCGGGGTCAAACCCGCAACCCAGGTATGTACCCTGACTGGGAATCAAACTGGCAACCCTTTGGTGCACCAGAAGACGTTCAACCAACTGAACCACTCTGGCCGGGCCTTATCATTTTTCTTAAATAACAAAATGCTATATCCTCTTTTACCTGAACTCTATAATGTTATTAAAAAGGCAAACACTGTTCTTTTAATTTGTTACCCAATTCCATCCTAAACTGTCTTCTGTTCTCTCTAGAGTAGTGATGCTACATGTGGGGAAAGCTGGGATATCATTGAAGAAAGATTTATCATGAAAGTAATGAAGCATTCAAGGACCTGATTGGAGCTAGTGATTTTGTGCTTGTGATTTCCTATAATTTACATCTCCAAATTTAGACAATTCTACAAAACTGGTATCTGCATAATGCACACCCTACTATACCACAGGCTTTTTCAACCTACCTCCTATCACTACTCTTTCTCCTATGGCATATCTTTCTCATCTTACCTACTATTGCTTCCTCTGGCATTTAGATGCCAGGGACTGTTGGTGTCTACCCAACAGCCTTTGTCAGCCAGGGCATGGGCTTATGAACCAATAGTGGCCAATGGGATCTGAATAGAAATCAGCAAAAAGCATCTGTAAGAAGTTTTCCTCAGTCATAAACAGAGATACACAGGAGGAAACACTGCCTCTTTGCTAGACATGAACATGTCTGCTAATGGCATCTGGAACTCCTACATCCATCTTGCAATTATAATGAAAGAAATGACCAATATGCTGAGGATGGCTGAGTACAACAATGAAAAACACCTGGGTCTTCCATGACACTGTTCAGCTGCATAACCAAACTTGGAGCTGCCCTGATTCTGAACTTTTGTCATCCTATATAATAAAGAGGTAATATGCAAATTGACCCTCACACCCTCGTGTCACAAGATGGCCACCCCCATGTCATCAGATGACCGCCCCCATGTCATCACAAGATAGCCAGCAGGGAAGGGAAGTTGGGGGCGACCAGGCCTGCAGGGGAGGGCAGTGGGGGCGATCCGGCTGGCAGGGGAGCAGTAAGGTGTCAATCAGGCTGGCAGGGGAGTGGTTAGGGCAGCCGTGGGCAAACTACGGCCCACAGTCTGGATCCGGCCCGTTTGAAATGAATAAAACTAAAAAAAAAAAAGACCGTACCCTTTTATGTAATGATGTTTACTTTGAATTTATATTAGTTCACACAAACACTCCATCCATGCTTTTGTTCCAGCCCTCCGGTCCAGTTTAAGAACCCATTGTGGCCCTCAAGTCAAAAAGTTTGCCCACCCCTGGGTTAGGGGGTAATCAGGCTGGCAGGCAGAAGTGGTTAGGAGCAATCAGCAGGCGAGTGGTTAGGAACCAGCAGTCCCGGATTGTGAGAGGGATGTCTGACTGCCAGTTTAGGCCCGATCCCACAGGGCCTAAACCTGCAGTCGGACATCCCCCAAGGGGTCCCAGATTGGAGAGGGTGCAGGCTGGGCTGAGGGACACTTATCTCCCCTCCCCCCACTGCATGAATTTCGTGCATGGAGCCTCTAGTTTGAAATTTAAAATGTCCTTATTGTTTGAGCCACTTGTAGTTGATAATTCTGTAACTTACAGCCAAAAGCATCCTCATGTAATTCTGTCCTCTTTTGTGTTTAGTATAAGTGCATATTTTCCTCTCTTCCTTTAGTCCTTGAGTGTTCATTAAGTGCTTACTATGTGCTAGAAACTTGACCAGATGTTGAGGAAGCAGAATAATAGAGTAAAACATTATCTGTTCTAAAAGACTCTGCTAGGTGCTCAGAAAAAAAAAAAAACAGTGACCCAAGAATTTATCTTTCATATCTGAAAATATCTTAGCCTCATTTTAAATTTTAAGTGAATCTTCAGGAAGTATTTTTTTAAATCCTCACACAAGGATATGTTTGATATGTTTTACTAATTTTAGAGAGAAAGGGAAAGAGAGGGAGGAAGATAAAGAGAAACATTGATGTATGAGAGAAGCATCATTCAGTTGCCTCCTGTATGTTCCCCCACCAGAGATTGAACCCGCAACCTAAGTTGTGCCCTGACTGGAAATCGCACTGGCAACCTTTTGGTGCTTAGAATGATGCTCCAACCAACTAAGCCACACCAGCCAGGGCAAAAAAGATTAATTCTTAAAAATTACACCTTCTGCCTGGCCAGAGTGGCTCAGTGGTTGAGCGTCAACCATGAACCAGACGTCAGGGTTCGATTCCTAATCAGAGCATATGCCTGGGTTGTGGGCTTGATCCCAGTGTGGAGCATGCAGGAGGCAGCCAATTAATGATTCTCTTTCATCATTGATATTTCTATCTTTCTCTTCCTCTCCCTTCCTCTCTGAAATCAATAAAAATATATTAAATTTTTTTAAAAAAATTACACCTTCTATTGTGCAATAACAACTGACATAATCATATACTATTAATACCAAACAAGATTAGTAGTAGTTATGCAAATAAAAATGCAGAGAAAAAGAAGCTATATGCTATAGCAACATATTACAGTATTTACACTGGGTTGATGGTACTATTGGGGATATATTTTTCTTCTATTTGCCAAATTTTCTTCAATGTAATTACATATTTCTTTTCCTTTAGTTGATTTTTGGGGAAAGAGAGAGACAGAGAAACACTGTCATGAGAATGAAACATCAATGGGCTCCCTCCTGCACATGCCCCAACCAAGGATGAAACCTCACTGAGAATCAAACCAGCAACCTTTCAGTGAGCGCACTGAATGACACACAACCAACTGAGCCACACTGACCAGGGCTGCATATATATATATATATTTAAGTAAAAGATATAT